CAACAACCATTCATGCAGTTAATGACCTGAGTACTTCAAGTCCTGTGCAAAAACGCATGGTCGCACCGGCCCGCCCGGTGCGTTCCACCCTGGGTTGCTTATATGCAGATGTAAAAACGCATATTGTGGCAACTCAACGCGTGTGCGCGTCTATCCGGGTATTTCAACTCGGCAATCAAGCAGGCTCCGGCGCCAAAATTTTGCCAATAGACTCCCAGTCCCAGGGCTGCGGCATTAACCCTCAAGCATGTCTAGGCCTTGCGTACGACCCCGTGAAAGTTTTTAGTGGGAAAATCGCTAACTCGGAAACCAGAAGAGAGAGAAAGCTCAAATTATGAGGAAATATTTCCTGACCAAGTACCACGTAGTTGTACAATTAACTCCGTGAACTTCAATGACCAGTTTGCCATAAATTCTAGCTAATGATACTCCAAGCGATCTTACTACAGCAAGAAACACTCAAAAACGAACGATCACATGGGTCCATCAGTGCGTGTCACCAATGATTGCTCACTGTTACAGCAAAAACTCATAATGAATTGACTAACAGAATGGGCTTTAATAGCCTTTCGCAATCGCTGTGCCTTAATAAATACAATGACGTAAAGCAGAACGCTTGCTGTCGATGCACAGATTTCAATGCCCAATGAAACATTTGGAAAAATAGACGCCATGCTGTGTAAAGTCCTGTAAAAAATTAACTTCATAAAAAGGCACTTCTGGCAGCTCTTTTTTTAAACTGATGGAAAATGAAGTCGCGATCTTACGTCAGACTTTCCGTCAGATGAGCGACATGCGAACACTCATGGTTTCATGCTGAGAAATAAAATCTGATGCGCGGAGCATGTTGTTTTCGCTGCTAACAGTCAGTGAACTTTACGCATTAGTGAATAGAATCGGCAAAGTAAATAGACAACGTTCAGGGAGCCCAGGAAGAAATATTGCACTAACTTCGAACAAGCGATAGATATTATCTAGAAGCGTGCAGTTTAAAACCAAAAGGGCTGACATGACTTTGCTCGAAACAAATGTGTTGTTGAAAAATGTGTTACAATACTCCAGTAACGTGATTGACATCGGATCCATACAGCGATTGTTTTGGCATTCTACATATTTTTATACCTCACTGATGTCTAGAGGAGGAAAAGTTTGTTCGAGAAAATCGTGTTGCTCAATATAGAAGAAATCACGAAAGAGCTAAAGCAATGACAAATGTTTCTGTTATAAACCTCTACGTTTTGAAAATACGCGTTTTTGACTGATGTTGTGGCGCAGTAGCGCTGCAAAACAAAGACATATAACAGTGAATTCTGGAAAATGTCTGACAAACCAGCACAGTGGGGATGTTGTGGACGTGTTATCCTGCCAGGAGAAAAACCAACTTGTGCATGTGCATATTAAAATTGCAGCAGTGCAGACTGAAATCTAAAAATTAATGCATAACTCAAAATTAGTTCCGAAACCCGAAAGTGACCTCTTTCCAGTTTCACTATAGGATGTAGGTGCTAGCACAGAGCCCCCTGCAGCTTCACTAAAGCTGATAATGATTCCTTGCCAAAATACGTCATGGAACAAGTGGTATGATAAAAAATTTCTGTTAAAGCCAGCACTATTCGAATTTTTGAATGGTGCCACTAAAATTTTCCTACGATTTTATCATTTGTTTCGATGATAAATTATTATCAACATATGCTTAGAAATCAAACTCACCATCAATTTTACTAATCAGCTCTTTAAGTCATCGGCTTTCTTACTAGCGTGTGGTTGCTGTTGGCAACTGCTAACACTTGGGTTGCATCCTGTGTGCTCACGCCTCACGTAGAAGGTGAATAAGATGATGTGACGTCAGACCTATGCATTTTTAAAAGAACACAGGGAGGCTGCTAGTGCGCTGGAAGGCAGCTATTTACGATTATTTGGATGAGAGAGTCCAAAATAGAGAAGAATGGATAAATTGTCAGCTACAGCTGTGCCGAGGAAACCTGAGATGAAGCAGGAACTGAGTAAATAGCACTCCTTACTAGGGATACTATAATAGTATTCCTAGTAAATGACACTCCATTCCTGCATTTTGTTACTGGAGGATGCTTGTACTATATAGATCTTTTGCAAGCTACAGAAATCCTGGATTTGTGGACAATACCGCGCAAAAGCTGTTTCACTAACAGCTGTAAAACTTTACATTTGTAATCATCGATTAAAACTGAAAGGGAGGCACTGTCACCTGCAAGTTTGGATTAATCCAAAGTTCAGCACTTCAACCTGTTGTTTGCCTAGTTCTGTCTGGGGCTTATTATCGTCATTTAGGGTAAATTGGAGTTGAAAAGATATTTTCAAGTCCTTGTTTTTGCACTGTGTTGTGTAATTAAGCCCCTGAGAATTCGAGTTCTTTGTTCAAAAAGCTTATAATAAAATGGAAAAAATTTGAAAATGTTGAAGGCTAGGAATGGATTTCAAGTTTGGTATCCCACTCATGCTCAGGACTATGCGTTCTATATTTCAAGTCAAATTAATTTTTGTTTTTTTTTAGCATCTGAAATGTTAAAACTAGAAGGGGACGAACGTGCAAGTACGCACATGCATATGTATACAGTCATGTACACGTGGTGCGATTTTACCAGAACGATTTTTTATTATTTGGAGTGTAAAAGTATTACCGAAAGACTCGAAAATGTGCTTAACTGACTAAAATTTAACAATGAGCTCTTAAAATCTTGTCAAAATGCCGCAAGATTTAACAGAAAGGATAAAAAGCCTAGAAAAATTTGACTGGCAAGGAAAAAATAAGTTGTAGAGAAAAAGTTATGGTCATTCGGCCAAGGCAGCAAGAGATGTCAAATTTTGATGGAGAAATCCGCTGTTTTGACCAAACAAAGGTCAGAACTGATATGTATCCTAGGGAAGTTACATGCGGTATGATCATGAAAAATCAAGCTTAATTTTCGTGAAAACTGTTTCTGCATTGTATGCGAAAATAGCAAAGAATCCATACAATGAGCAAACCTCAATGATCTGGATTGTGAAATGTTTTTGAAAGTACAATATAGGTAAAAATACGGCAAAAAATCTGTCAATGCCAACCATCAACAGCGATACTGCCTGCATTGGCTCAGCCCTGCAATCCAAAACGCTAAGCCAAATGGTTTGATGCACAAAAGGTCTGAACACAGAATAAATATGCTTTTTGCTAGGTAATTTCAACAAAAAATTTCCTTACCCCAGGTCTCAATTACCCAAGACTTCCAAGTCCCTTCAAATATCAGACCGTTAAATTATTGAAATGCCCCCACACACCGGGCGGCTACGCAACCTCCCCGATCTCGCGCCGTATACTTTCTGCTGGTATTCTTCTCACTTTTGATATAAGTGCACCACAAGGGCCATTGGAGTATTTTTTACTTTTTTCCGGGTACTACTCACTGATGCACACCTTCCGCCAGTTGCCAGCAAGACAAACAAGATACACTACCCATCAGTTTTTGCTTTTTTACCAATTACTCAATTATTATTGAGTTAGAGTCTAATTGAGACTTAAAAACACACTACATCAAGAGTACAGGTTTAAAGAAGACTTACCAAATGAAAATCAAATTCCATGGTGCAAGCATGCAAATTCGCTTACTGGTTTTCGCCTTATAACCCGTCTTCATAATAATTAATCGTGATATTCCTGATGACAGTAATGCAATTCCTTCCGCTGTGTTTACAATGCACTTAAAACGGTTCAACATCAGTTTCTGATACTAGTGAAGTAATGTTCATAGCACTTTTAAAATGGATTTTGGAGTTATTTACATAAAATAACACTAGGGATTCAATTTAAAAAATATTGAAAACGATGAGAACAATAATCAGAGTTCCCTAGTGAGGTTGATACCGTGCATCGAACAGGCGATAGACATTAAATGAAGGCTCAGGTTGGAAGGAGTTGTCGCAAAAGCACACAGCACATGGGGCCATTCTAGCAATATTATCAATACGTGATGCCCGCACTGGTAGCCTGGGCAATCATTGGTAATCCCGAAAATTCTCACAACTCCATCGGAGTCAGCAGCAATTGGTCAATAAAATTCGTCAAATATTGGTTTTTTCTACCTGTACTGCGATCGTGCAGTATCGCCGTAAGAGCATCCTTTGGCTTGTGAGGATATACGCGAAATAGCCATTGGATAAGATCAGCAGTATACCAAGAGCAATGAAAAAATAAAAAGTCGAGGTCAGTATGTCCATTTTCTGGCTGAAAATCCGGGATCATTGAGAATTGTCAGATAAAATCAATGTGAGTATCTGATTAGCATCGGATTCTAGTGCTGGAACAATGGATCTAGTAAATTCTAATGTGGTGCTTTTAGTATGCATTTCGATCTTAAATAAATGCCTACAATTACCCACCGCCGCTGCACTCAATTTACGCATTGCTGTCACTGCAAACGTCGCTCAAGGTCAATTTTCATCTTGCGGATGCCGCTCGTTGGCTGCAGGCTGGAACACTCCAGACTTGTCAGTGCGATCAAGCTTTTCTGCACTAAACTCGCAGACTACTAATAGCAAGAATGATCCCTGCACTGTAGCCTAGTACTTGGGCACACATTAACCATGCTCTGGCCTCTTCCAGCTCACAGCAGAAAGGGCCTCGGTTGGGACGTAGGTGGTAACCTTGTAGGGCAGCGTGAACCTCCAGGTACATAATTATCGGTTTTTTATGCTTTTTTGCATATATGCAAATTGCAAAAATGCATATTGGGAAAAGGCTGTGTGTGTGTGTGTGTGTGTGTGTGTATCCGTGTGTTCGCACTTTTTGTCACTCACTTTCAACTCAAGATCCAGAAAAGCTAGAAGGCTGAAACTTTGAGAATATGTGCCCATACCAAGCGCAACCCTTCCTTTTTAATTTCATCCCCCGCGGACGTCTGGGTGCCGCTTACGGGCGCTTTAAAAGAATATGCAAATGTTTTGGCAGGAGAGCGATCTTGGGAACCACGTGAGCTAAGGGGCTGAAAATTTGTACGGATATTCCCTGTTCACGTACTAGCTAAAGGTTTCAAATTCAGCCCCAGGTACTCGTGGCACTCACGTAAGGGCGTATGAAAGTTTTGGCCTAACTCGGGAACCAGAAAAGCTAGAAAGCTGAAATTTTAGGAGAATGTCCCTGTCCAAGTACAACTCAAGTATTTCAGATTCAGCCTTGAGGTATGCGTGGCTCTTATGTACGGGGAGCTAAAAATTTTGAAGGAGAAATTTCTCACTGAACAGCTTGGTTACTTTTAAAGAACGACCGTTAAGTGGAAATTGTACATTTACTTTACGCAAAATTTATGGTGATTTATGCTGGTGACCGCAAAAGGTAAGTGTAAAGCAACAGCCATTCACGCAGTTAATTACCTGAGTACTTCAAATCCGGTGCAAAAACATGTGATCGCACGGGCCCGCTGGTAAGTTCCAGCCTGGGTTTTACATAAAGCCGGTCATTTTTCTGGTAAACGCTCGCTCTTCAAAAAGATACAAATTTCCGGTTCACTGAAAAGTGGAAATATTGCTAGAGCGATCTTTCGTCAAAAAACCCAAATATGCAAATGGGTTCACTTATATATTAGAAAAGGATGAGTGCGGTCGTTCGCTGCAAAATGCACTCGTTTCTAATTTTTCGGTAAAGTTGAGTATTTCTCAAGCCCACCTGCAGGGAATTTCACTTCCGAGCAGAATTAAAACCGCACTTGAAAATAGAATATTCCAGCGAATTTTCACCCGCGTGACTTATTCAGTAAACGAAATAGCTACTTCGCTACAAATACCTTCGAAATGCCCTAAGTCAGGGTGCAAATACAATTCAGAACTCATTTTAGGCACACGGTTTCCCACACGGGCGAAGAACATGCCGCAAAATTTCAGCCACTATTTTCTGGCAAGTTTTCGAATTAGGACTGTGCCAATGGAAATTTTGACGTGATCTTACGCGCTGCAGAAGCGTGCGCGACAGCTGAATTTGAAACCTTTAACTCGCACACAGAGAAAATACCTGCAAGGTTTCAGCTTTGTACCGTGTCTGGTTCGCGAAATCGCTTCCCGCCAAAAAAATTCGCTTATTTTTTTCGAGGTTCTGTACACGAGGTATAGAGTCGTGCAAGCGAAAATTTTAAAACGGGAGGATGAAACGCGAGGTAGGAACATATACCCAGAATTTGAGCCTCTCAGCTTTTCTGGTTGCAGAGATGAAAGTGGGTGACAAAGTTCACTCGCTTCCGAACACAAACACACACAGACTATTTCTCGACGATATGCCCTCTTGCTGGCTGTAGCTGCGCCATATCACTACTATAGCGCTGCACAACAAAGACGCATAAAAAGCTTGAAGAGAAATTTTGGTAAAAAAAAGAGGAAAAATAAACTTCATCCCGCTGAAAGCGAAATTTTACGTTTTTATGTGTTTATGTATTTTTATGCAAGTGCGAAAACTCATGTTGTCCAGGCGTCGTATGTGTGTAAGTACCGCATATTCGGGCACATCGAAGATATTTGAACGAAAAGCGTTTACGCCAAACAGTCATGTTAAAGAACTGAAACTTCACGAGGATGTCCTAGACAAATGTATGACCTAAATATTCCAAATTCGGCTTTGAAGCATGAAAGCCCGGAACTGTTGGCACCCAATTAACTTGGCAACCAGATTGAGCAAGGAACAGTATTTTTCTACTAATCAGTTGATCTGGTGAGTCCTAGAGTAGTGCTTTTAGTATGCACTTACATGCTGAATGCAGGATCCTTTCGTTCTGCTACAAATGGCTGCAATTATCCATCGTCGCAATGCATCAAGTTACGAATTCTGTCACTGCGAATTTCTCTAGAATTAGTCGGCTTTCATTTTGAGAATGCCATCTGACAACGTGAATTTAGTTAATAAAAAAGCGAAATTGGGAGAGAAATTCAGGTAAAAAAAGAGAGAAAAAATAAACTTCATTCTGCTGGAGGCGAAATTTAATTTTTTTAAGCGTATTTGAATACAAATTCGAAAGCTCATATTGTCAAAATACCACGTGTGCATGTGTGTGTTCGAGTTTTTGTCAATCACATTCAAGTCAGAAAACGCAGAAGTTGAGGAGCTGAAATTTCATAAAGATGCTCTTCTAGTAGATGCTATCCGAACAGCTTAAAATTGATGAATGCGCACACTTGGAGCTCACGTGCAACCACCTAAAGAAATTTTTTAGAGTGGAAGCGATTTTGAAATCAGAAAAGGCAACAAGTTGAAATTTCATATGGATATTCCATGTCTTTGCGGGAGCTAAAGATTTCAAATTAGCTTTAACACGCCATCAACCGCGATTATGCGAACAAATCGAAGTTGAAATTAAGAAATTACGAAGACAATGCTAACTCCGGAATCAAGCCTTTTAGAGCGCTCTAACTTTATGAGAATATTTGTTTTCTGCACGTGAGCATGAAGGCGCAAAAGAGTTTTGACGTTCGCTCTTACCACGTATTCGGCCACATCAAAGATATTTGACGAAAAGCGGTTTCGTCAGATATTCATGATAGGGAGCTGAAACTTTACGAGGATATTCTATACCAATGTATGACCATAATATTCCATATTCAGCATAATTTCGCACACTTGAAAGTCAATGTTTACCCCGGAACACTGTTGGCACTCAGTTAGCTTGGTATCCAGATTGAGCAGGAAACAGTATTTTCCTAAGGATGTTTGTTGCTCTTGTGCGGGCCACCTGATGTAAAATGAGTTTTTGCTTAAGCATATGCCCCTATATATGTTCAAATTGTAAGATCACAATCACACCCCAACTCTTATATGATCTCTCTATAATAATCACACGAAATAGAATAATCGCACCGCCAAACCTAATGCGTCGCTACTTGGTTTTACCGCTGGATTACGTGTGAAGCGGATTTCTGAATGATAATTTTTGAATTTGCGTGGACCCATCAGCTCACTGCTCTTTTCCTCTTAGGATCACTTGATTTTGCCTAGCTGACAATTTTGTACATCATCACTGCACTTCATAGACGCTCTCCACGCGTTGTTGAGGAATATGGAAAAGTCAGCTAAAGTGATGGAAGAATCCATATGAAAGGCCGTATACATGTGTGGGAATGAGTTATGCTACAACTAAAGACGAATATGCAAATTGCCAGCTGTATCAATATCAAGAAAAAAACACGATGATGGAAAATGGATTCGTCAGATCGTTACTGTCGAGCAGGTTCTTTCCAAGAACAGCTCGCAGTAAAACAGTAATAATTTTTGTTTCGAAGTTTCTGGTTTAACAAACACTTGACTGCAATTCGTATTTATATGATATTAGATGGCAAAAAATTTATCACCTTGCGCAGCTTGATTAGTGATATTCATATAAGTCCTGCTAATAGAAAATAATTTTAGAGTATTAGGCAGCATATATTGGAATTAGTAGTTTAGTCGAGAATTCTTTTTATTCATTACATTGGGCTTTATACGTCTTAAGTCAGCACCACAATTGTACTTCGTTAGTACACCATTTTTTCGAGGGAGCGTCTCTCTTATTTTTCTAATAAAAAGAATTGGTACCAAAAAAGAGATGACAAAAATTAGAGGGTCATTTTGGAGAAGAGCAGGTTACACGGGAAATAGCGATGGCATAAACACTTAAAAAAAAATCGGAAGCCGATATTTTTTTTGTAACCTGATTGAGCTTTAGAACACGTAAATCAAAATGAAAGTTGTCACTAAACACGAAAAAATGGTATGTGAACAGGGGCGGGGATGAAGAAATATCCAGATGGCAACGCTCCAGATTTGCCTATGTAATCGTGCCTTTTTGTGGTAAAATTGACGCAGTCAGATCGTTAGCAGCGTAACAGTTGTTGCTTTACATTTTAACATAAGCACTCACGTTGTTTATGTTTGTGTTTTCACCCATGTTGTCAGTGTTTTTTGTTCTTTTCTTACATGCAGAGGGAAAAGGGCGTCAGTGGGCATCATGAAGTCGCGTGAAATCTTGATCTTTAGCACACATGATAGCCGTAAATTTTGAGAGGAGGAAAAGAAAAATTAGCTGTTACTAGTCGTTTATTGAGAATGCAGCTTAGTTAATTAGCAACGTTTTGAGAAGGCAACATGAGGAAACTGCATAAAAATTTCCTCCCCTCCCGGTCTAGGGAGTTTTCTTGGTGCCGCTTGCAAACTATTAGCTAAAATCTTTGTGAAAATTAGTGCTGGATCAGAAAATTTCTTTTCT